TTCCCTACCTTTTTTCTTCCCTTGTTTCTAGGAGCAGAATAAATTACCTAAATATAAAACCCTTTCAGAGGAGTGTTATGAAGCCATTAACATTTGGGCAGGGCGCTTGCAGGACTCGCAAAAGGGCTGAGCCGGCTCACCCAGGGCTGTACTGACTGTGCAGTACATAACATGACCGTAAGTGTCTTAACTGCCAGTACAATGCGAGACCTGCCTTTGCGTGTTGTACTGCCGGCTGAGAGAGGCAGGTGCCAGGAGATGTGGAGGTGGCAGTGGCTGAGGGCTCTTCATGCAGGGCAACAGAGGAAAGTAAAAACCTGCGAGAGAAAGAAATAAAGAAGCCAGCAGCGAAAAGACTGGGACAGGATCAGGTTTCCAACGTGCAGCTGCTGCTTCTGCCCAGCTTGCCTAGGGGTCTGAGGGGCAGCGATCACTCCAGCCCTGGGCTTGGACCACAGCTCCTCGTGGCAATCTCTGTGGATGCTGCTGCAGGTGGGGGATCAGGGGCAGAGCAGGCGAACACCAAGGTGGTGCCCTAGTTGCACCCAGGGGTAACCACTTTCCCGGCATGGGGCAGTACCCGGAGACGTAATGTAGTTTTACGCCCACTTTATGGAGATGAGAGACTCCTCCCCAGCTTGTTCCTGTGGCCGTACGGCTGAGGGTAAGCAAAACTTGGGGGCCAAACCTCCAGGCTTGGGCCTTCACGTAAGATGCTTGCCAAAGGATTTGGAAACATCTGAAGCCCCAGGTGGGGCGGAGGACGTTTGCCAGGTGTTGGGCCACTTATAGTTCTTGACTGACTCCCGGATTTGGAGTGGAACATGAAACATTTTCACCAAAAAAAACGGGGGGCGGGGGGCACTGATGCACTTGCACCCCCCTTTGATTCCAGCTCACCCAAAGTGTAAAATCAGCTGCCTGGCAGCAGCAGCTCATCAAAAAGCAACTCCCAAAGACACTCCGAGGAACAGACTTCCACCTTCAGCTTCCTCCGTGCAAAAATGAAGTTGCTTTTTCTACCTCCGGGGACTTGTTACCATCTTGTTTTCCCTGAGGCCTGAAAGCTTGCAGGAAAAGATCCTTTTTTTTTTTTTTTTGCCATGTCTTAGTCAGTCTAAGAAAAGGTGTTGTTTCTGAACCTCTTTACTTTTAAAATTAATTGCAGAACAACAAGAAAGAGGTTTTTTTGTTGTTTTGGGTTTTTTTTCTCTCTCCTCTCCCTGCCTAGCATCTGACCCCTCCAGGGAAGCAACCCCACCGCTCTCACCGCCTGCCATCTCCAGCTCCCTCCGTGCAAAAGCGGCGTTTCTTTCCTGCCCCTGGGGACTTTTACTTTGTGACCGCCTTTCCCCAGAGCCTGCTGAAGCGACGGGGCAGCTGGCGGGAAGGGACGGTGTTGTCGCCGTCCCGGCTGCTCTGATGAAGGGCACGGTGCGGGAGCGCGGCGCGGCGCGGCGCTTGGTGCCGCCCCGGGCAGGGCGGAGCGAAGCGAAGCGGCGGCTCCTCC